TTAAATTTAAAAAATTTTTAATTCCTCAGTCACACTAGCCACATTTCAAGGATACAGTAGGCATATGTGGCTTGGACAGTACAGACATAGAGCATTTTCATCATTGCTGATTCTATTGGACAGTACTACCATCAATAACATTGGGCCTGGCATATAATATATGCTCAATAAACAGTATCAGACAATGTTATATTTATAGGCCATACACCTTCCATCACTCAGACATCACCATCCTGATTTCTGCCATTATCCTAATATCACCTGTATTGTTAGTTAATATTTTTCTTTAAGTTGATTCATTTTATACTTAAATAAGTGTATTTAATATTATCATAAATGGAAAACCAGTATCAGTTGCCATAAATAAAAAGAATAATAAAAATAAGCACAATGAAATAAAATAATGTTGCTAAATTTTAAATTTGGGGATGAAAAAATAAAACAATGAATAAAAGCAATAATGAAGTTAATTGATTTATGAGAATATATGTGAAAATAAATGTCCCAATTTAAAAAATGGTATTGTTTATGATTAGTCAGGAATAAAGATAGCTCCAGGTACAATGAAATTGGATTTATAAGACACTATTAAATTTTGATATTGTCCAGCACCCTAAATCCTAACTCGCAATTATGGGTGGTTAGGGTAACATATCATCAATCAAATTGTAATTTAAATGCATAATAGAGGTTAATGGCTTTTGGCCCTTGAGGCAGAGAAGTTTGTAAGTGAGGCAGGGAGCTGGGTCACTGTCTGCAAGTCACACAAGCCAGACACCTTCCCACTCCCTGTCCCTCACCCTAGGAGAACTGCGAAATGAAAATGGTTCCCAAATCCCTTCCCACATCAAAGGCCTAAGCAGCGCTAAGAGCAAAAAGGCACTTGTACCAGCCTTGGCTGCCTCCCCATGTGCAGGGCTACTACAGGAAGATGGGGAGAGAAAAATACCCCATGTTCCTCAACAGTGCATGGGACCTAAGGGGCCTGGATAAATACTCCTGTTTGTACCACCTAAGAGCATCTCTCCTGAAATGCAGGGGTCACGCATTATTTTTCCTCAGAGCACAGTTTAATTTATTAGGTTTTAATTAGAGTTAGGTCTGAATTAGGGTTAAGAATTAGGTTAG